CACACACACACACACACACACACACACACACACACACACACACACACGTTCATTGTTTCCAGAGAAGGAGGAAAGGAGAAGTAAAGTACAGAGGTTTATAGCAGCTGATGTGTAATGAGCCTGGGAACGTTCATTGTGTGCACACACCAAGCAGAAGGAAACTGGAACGGTGACCAAAAGGACTGAGCTTCACTGGATAGCATATTCAGCTTAAAAGCACAATTTTATAAGAATCTTATTAGAACAAGCCACTAATGATTCACAGGGCTGATGGGGGGTTCAGAGGGCCTAGGAACCTCCTGAAATGGTACACACAATTCCGTGTGCCTGTATACATTTTTCCACAGATTTAATTAGGTTGTCATTTGGGGCCATGACCCCCAAAAGGTTAATTAAGGACTACTGATCTAAACAAAGACTCAGTGGGGAGAAAACTCTGGCACTGAAAACATTATCATCTCTGAACCTCAGCCATTACCACTGCCTTCCTTTGAAAATTAAATGCCCATAATAAAAAACAAAGGCAGTACTACAACATGACTACCACCGAGCTGGACACTGAGATACTTCATGATCAAGTCAGACTAGATGTTCATAGTTTTAGCCCTAAAACTTGGGAGACATTTCTTGTGGATTCCCAGGGCTACTATAAAAAAAGTAGTCTTAAAAGGCTTTTAGTGACTCTCTCCAAACCAAGCTGACACCACCACCATCTCCATTTCACCACCAAAGAGCAAATGCATATATTACTGGTGTCAGTGGTCACTCGCTGAGTGCCTGAAGTGGGAACATTTTGTTTAAACACACAAAAACAGAAAATTCCACTGTGTCCAAGAATCAAATAAAAATACCTTACAAAGTTGACAGTCACAATCAAACTTGTGGAATAAAATTTTGAAAAAGCCTAGGTCCAAGGATGCTGTGGTCTTTGTGCTGGTCCTCTGCTGATTAATTTTTTTATACATATATGTATTTTTTAATTAAAAAATTTTTTTTAGCTGTGTTGGGTCTTTGTTGCTGTGCATGGCTTTCTCTAAGTTACAGCGTGCGGGCTTCTCACTGAGGCTCCTCTTGCTGTGGAGCAGGACTCTAGGCACGCAGGCTTCAGTAGTTGCATGAGCATGTGGGCTCAGTAGTTGCGGCACTCAGGCCCTAGAGGGCACGGGCTTCAGTAGTTGTGCGTGGGCTCTAGGGTGTGCAGGCTTCAGTAGTTGCAGCATGTGGGCTCAGCAGTTGCGGCACTTGGGCCCTAGAGCACATGGGCTTCAGTAGTTGTGGCACGTGGGCTCTAGGGCGTGCAGGCTTCAGTAGTTGCAGCATGTGGGCTCAGTAGTTGTGGCACTCGGGCCCTAGAGTGCATGGGCTTCAGTAGTTGTGGCTCGTGGGCTCTAGAGTGCAGGCTCAGTAGTTATGGCACACGGGCTTAGCTGCTCCACGGCATGTGGGATCTTCCCAGACAAGGGATTGAACCCGTGTCCCCTGCATTGGCAGGTGGATTCTTAACCACTGTGCCACAGGGAAGTCCCCTCTGCTGATTAATTTTTACTGGACACTTTGCACAGGGCATGAGAAAAAGGAGATCCAGTTTCTAGGCCCTAGAAGCTTATGACCGAGTTGAAGAGAAAACAAGTATGTATAATCAAAAAGGAGGATTTTCCCAAAAGCCATAAAAAATGTAATTCAAATTTCTTGAGTCTGCACTGAGTATCTAAGTGCCAGGACGAATGCAGACTAGAGGGCTGCACTAGGCCAGGGGAGGTTACTTGTATATGGTTTTTTGGCAGATGAAGTTTTGGTTCTAGTTTTCTTTCTCTCTTTGGCTAAGGAACTTAAGACTCAATTTCAGGCGGACTTTGGAATGGCTGAGTGACACCCCTCTCCCCCAAACCCCCCACACCAAGACGTCCCTCCTACATGTGCCCTCATGGCCTCCAAGACTCACTATCCCAGCACCAACCACACTGAATTGTAATCGCCTGTTTACCTGTCTGTGTCCCCCATGGGACTATGAAGCTCCCTGAGAGCAAGGACTTTGTATCCTTACTTCCTGGCAAGATGCCTGGCACACAGCAAACAGTAAATAAACATTCACTGAATAAATGAACACATGAAAAGAACACGCATTCTGGTAAGCAAAGTGAGAACATTCCATGCTAGGAAACAGGCACTACAAGTCAGGAACATGAGATAAGCGTGTCAACAGCGGGAGGAGGGCCAGGGAAGGCAGAGGGCAGGGGAAGGCAGCCTGTAGATGCCAAACGGATTTATTTGAGAAAAGAAATTAGGAAAAAGAGAGAAAGTATTATTGGTTAAGGGCCTAAAAGGTCAGAATTGTGAAGACTGATAGGCTAGGCAATAAGGAGTCAATGGTCTCAAGCCGGAGGATGACATTTTTAAACAATAAACACAGACAATAGCTGAAGGAAGGGGAGTGAGACCAAACAGACGGAGAACACTTTGAAGGCAGCCCAGACAGACATAAAGGGAAAAAAATTACAACTTCATGGCATTTGAGGAGCTGGAAGAAGCAGATCTACACATCATACAAAACAATTAACAGACTTTGGGGAATGGATTGAATATACAGGACAAGGGAGAAAGCAGACTTTAACATGCTCCAAAATCTGAAGTCAGAAATGCAGTCAAAGGGAAATTCAGATGCAGTGATTTAAAAGAATAAGGAGGCAATAATAAGTCCAGCATCGGCAAGCTGCAGGTGTTCTGAGGGTAGGGAAATGATTTAATCTGAGCTTAAAGATAAAACAGTGGCATGTGATGTATATGGAGATCTGCTAGGTACCTTCATCAAAGTACGTAACAGAAATGTCAGTTCATTTGGAGTGAGGAAAAGAGAAGTGGGTCTAGGGCCAAGGCTGGAGGGACACTGTAAGGAACGTGGGAGAGGGGCAAAGACAAGAGAAGTACAAGATGCAGTGAAGAGCTTCCTACCTGTAAAACTCAGGGGTTTGGGAAAGGTTAAGTTTATGGTGCATTCACCCTGTAATATGGCAAAAGATCAGGTAGAGCAAGAAGAGGAATACAACAACAACAAAAAGACTGCTACAGAAGCCTAGACTAAAAGGAATGTCAACAAGAGACTGATGAATGGTGCAGCTGTGAGATGCTGTGGAAAACGGAAAAAGTTAAGTTTGACCAGAAACTGATCACTGTTGAGCTAGAGATGTGAAATAAATCCAGGAGGTAAAAGATGAGAAAGTAATGTTCACAGACCAAGTTGAACAAGGTGAACAGGAGAAATCTCATCATGGTTAAGAGAGAGGCTACGGCAGCAGGTGATGAGACAGTCTTCTGAA